TAGCATGTCGTCCAAAATCATGGAAAAGTAGTCATAGTATAGCATGTCGTCCAAAATCATGAAAATACGTCATAGTATAGCATGTCGTCCATAATAAAGGAAAATACGTCATAGTATAGCATGTTGTCGAAAATCATGGAAAACTAGTTATAGTTTAGCATGTCGTCCATAATAAAGGAAAAAACGTCATAGTCTAGCATGTCGTCCAAAATCATGAAAAAATGTCATAGTAAAGCATGTCGTCCAAAATCATGGAAAAGTAGTCATAGTATAGCATGTCGTCCAAAATCATGAAAATACGTCATAGTATAGCATGTCGTCCAAAATCATGGAAAAGTAGTCATAATATAGCATGTCGTCCATAATAAAGGAAAAAACATCATAGTATAGCATGTAGTCCAAAATCATGAAAATGCGAAATAGTATAGCATGTCGTCCAAAATCATGGAAAAGTAGTCATAGTATAGCATGTCGTCCAAAATCATGAAAATAAGTCATAGTATAGCACGTCGTCCAAAATCATGAAAAATAGTCAGAGTATAGTATGTGGTCCAAAATCATGGAAAAAAAGTCATAGTATAGTATGTGGTCCAAAATCGTGGAAAAAAGTCATAGTATAGTATGTCGACCAAAATCATGAAAAAAGTCATAGTATAGCATGTCATCCAAAATCATGGAAAAGTAGTCATAGTATAGCATGTCGTCCAAAATCATGGAAAAGTAGTCATAGTATAGCATGTGGTCCAAAATCATGAAAATACGTCATAGTATAGCACGTCGTCCAAAATCATGAAAAAAAGTCAGAGTATAGTATGTGGTCCAAAATCATGGAAAAAAAGTCATAGTATAGTATGTGGTCCAAAATCATGGAAAAAAGTCATAGTATAGTATGTCGACCAAAATCATGATAAAAAAGTCATAGTATAGTATGTGGTCCAAAATCATGAAAAAAAAGTTATAGTATAGTATGTTGTCCAAAATAATGAAAAAAAGTCATAGTATAGTATGTCGTCCAAAATCATGAAAAAAAAGTCATAGTATAGTATGTAGTCCAAAATCATATAAAATAGTCATAGTATAGAATGTAATACAAAATAATAAAAAAAAGTCATAGTAAAGCATGTCGTCCAAAATCATATAAAAAAGTCATAGTATAGCTTGTGGTACAAAATCATGAAAAAAAGTCATAGTATAGTATGTCGTCCAAAATCATGAAAAAAAA